TACACTGCACCCTTCCCCCTGAATGAGATTACAGACATCTGTTCTGCCTGTGAGCTGGAAACGATCCTGTCAAAACCTGGGTCTCCCCGGGTCACTCCTCTGATTGTACCTGAGCAGCACCCAGTTCAGTGGGTTCATGAGAAGAGAGCACACAAGTAAAGTAGACCCCTTTTAAAATATATAAAGGTTTGTTAAGGATTTAAAATCAAGCATCACTAAACAGCAAAGTTTCTTGCAGCTCAGCAACAGAAAAACAAGAAGAGCAAACCGTTCCATCTAATACATGCAGTCCTTGGTATTAGATGGCACCTAATGTTGCAGCATAAGTATTCCAGCTGTAGCCTAAATTGCTCTACACTATTCATCATGAGACAGCACGAAAATATCAAGACATACTAATATGGCATGAGGATAAATTTAGCCTGGCTTCCCTCTTGTCTCTATGTGTATTATACTTCCTACCTCCGAGGGTCAGGTAGTCCTAATGGCCCAATCAAGGTTCCTCCTTGATGGAATTTTCCAGAGGCCGTCAGGACCCTCCTAATCCCCCCTGCCTCCTGGCTACACAACTGGATACAAGTTCTCATGACTGCATTCTTTTTTTGTAAAGTTTTTATTTATGGTTTTTACAGTGTAAACAATGTATGCTAAATAAAATGTCTTAACAATTTGAGTCTACTTTTCCGATTTGTTATCCAACCATTTATACACTCTTGACAATCGGTTTAGATATAGAACTTCATCCTTTCCTTGCAATACAATGTTCAATTTATCCATTTCTGCAAGTTCCAACAATTTCTGAGCTATCTCCTCTCTTGAGGGAGTTCTATCAGTCTTCCAATATTTAGCCAATAAAATTCTAGCTGACGTTAAAATATAAGTCAGCATATATACATAATTTTGCTCATAACCATCCGGAATGCTGTTCAGCAAACATGTTTCTGGTGTTAATACTAAATTTATGTTCAATATTTCTAGAATTATCTTATGTATTTTCAGCCAAAAACTATGAATTTTACCACATCTCCACCACATGTGATAAAATGTTCCTACATTTGTTTTACATTTCCAACATTTGTTTGAAGCATTAACGTAACATTTAGCTATTTTATCAGGGGACCAGTACCATCTGTGGAACATTTTATAAATGTTTTCTTTGTATGATGTGGTTCTCATAACTTTTATTGCTTTCCAAATTTTTGACCACTCGTCTCAGTCTGTATTATGACCTATATCCTGCATCCATGTAATCATCGTTGTTTTCACTGTTTCATCCTTCATATAATCTTCTAACAGAAACTTGTATAATTTCTGAATCATTTTATCATTTGTAGACAACCAGATTTTATTAAGTTCGTTTTTTGTCCCGTGGAAACCAATTACATTATTTTTATTATATCTAGACTTTAATTATAAATTTTCCCAACATGTCAATTTTATAACATGCAAAAGTAGTCTCCTCTGATTTTAATTTATTATTTTTATTATTTTTATCTAATAGCATCTCATAGTTTTCTCTATTGTTTTCAGTAACAAGTGTGGGTTTTATAAATACTTCTAAAGGTGATACCCATTTGGGGGGTTTTGTATAATGACGTCCTTTTATATCTTTCCAGATTTTTATCAATGCGCCCCTTATTATATGTTGTTGAAAATTTGAGTAAATTCTATCTCCCTCCGGCCCCAGCGCTGCTCCGCAAGCCCGGGGGGCCCGGCTGCGGGGCTCTCCAGGCCTGCCCCTGGCCCCAGCGCTCCTGCACGGGGAGCTGGGGGTGGGGCTTGCCGCACCACCATTTGTGATGGCTCCTGGACTGCCGGAGCAGTGCTCCGGCACGCTCCGGCCCCAAAAGACCCCTGAGTATAGTTATCTTCCATCAATGAACTACATCAAGAAGCCAAACGTCATCAGCCAGCCGCCAAGATGCCATAGGAACATGACTGACCCAGCCTGCAGATGAAGCCCGGCTAGCTGCAATGTGTGTGTAATTAATGCTGTATGTTTGTCTTCCCTATCCCCACAAATATTGTTAGTCCAACAGTCGCAAGAGTAATAAATCGCTCTGAGCCCGCAGGTATGTGGGAAAGAGCGATCAATAAATCGAAAGCATTATTATTATTATTATTTCTATTGGACAGTACTATGCCTAGATATGTAACCTTTTTCGTTATTTCCATGGAGGAAATTTTGTGTATCTCTTGTATTTGATTTTGCGTACACTATTTAGTTAATCTATTTGTCTTCTTAAAGTTTATTTTAAGGCCTGCAACTTGTCTATTTTATTGTCGGGTTATAACAACATGTCCAATATTATATTATAACATTCCCTCATTTCTATTATAGCCCTTTCCTCCCTCCCTCCCCTTCTCCAGGCTTCCCGCAGTGATCCCACCCCTACCTAGTTTCTTTTCTTGTCTAATCCTTCCTCCTAAAACACAGTTTAATAGATAACTATTGTTTTAACTACCTTTTTCATATATTCTGTCTCATAGGTAACATTTCTTTAACTACCATCGTCTTCTGTTCAACTCTTTACACATTCTATTCTTAATAACTATTAAAGCACAATAAGTTGTTCTTAACATCCCATCAAACCACCTCTTCTTGATGTCCACTAGGTGACTTTAGGCTAATTGCATGTCCCTCTCTCAGTTCAACCCACCCCATGGCGTTGTTAGAGTAAAATTAGGGAACGAGTATAATGCATGCAGCCTCTGAGCTCTTTAGAAGAAGAGTGGGATAAAAATAGATTATTATGATGGTAATTGAGCCTCTTAAATTCTGTGGGTCAAGTTTTTTGTGGGAGTTTTATTTAGTATTGTACTTTGTTCACTGCTTAGCATGCACAAGCATCTAACTGGGGCTTCTGGTACTACCTCAGTCTAACAAGGGAGACCTACATGGAAACAAAGATATTGATGCTGAAGATCTGTGTTGTGAACTGCAAGCGGTAGCTCAAAGACTATGCCACCACAAAGAGTACTTCTCTTCATACTTCAACAAAAACTCCAGGATAGTGTGCCTAATGTTTCTGTTGCTCTAAGGATCCTTCTCACACTTCCAGTATCAGTGGCAGGTGGTGAACGCAGCTTCTCAAAACTCAAACTTATAAAAACATAGCCTCGACAATGCTGCAAAAAGAGACTACTTGGTTTGGCAACTATTTCAATTGAACATGCTGAAGCATCAGCGCTTGACCTGAAGAAACTGGTGATATTTCTTCTCTTCCTTTTATCTCAAAATTTCTCCCTTCTACTTTTAAAATGTCTCTTTATGGTATCCAGTCTTCTCCTTTGTGTCTCGAATATGGTTTAATTACTTCTGCCGGAACTATCCAAAGTGGTCTTTCTTCAAAAAAGAATCGTTTATACCTTAACCACGTCTCAAACAAAGATCTTCTTATGTAATGATGTTTAAAAAGCTTGTCCATTTTTATTTTCCCATACTACAAGTAGGTGTGCCATCCAAACTTACAGTCATGTCCTTCAAGTTCCAACAACTTCTTGTTATCCAAATTAACCCATTGCTCTTGTCCATATTCTTGATTGATGTTATGGGGTCTTCTATTATGAAAACAAGATCATCAGCAAAGGCTTGTAACTTAAATTCCTCTCCTCTTATTTTAAGACCTCTTATCTGGTCATTTTCTCTCACTAGGTCATTCAACATTTCCAGAGCAAAAATAAACAATAATGGTGATAGAGGGCAGCCTTGCTTCGTCCCTTTCTATATTTCAATGTTTTGAGTCATATCACCATTTACTGTAATTTTAGCAGATTGCGTTTTGTATATCGCTCTGATCATTGTTAAAAATTGTGATACACAATCCCATAATGCCAGTTTTCGCAACAAAAATTCCCAAGATACATTATCAAAGGCTTTCTCTGCGTCTAGAAATATTAACGCCATCTGTTTCTCTGGGTGTATTTCATAGTACTCTAGGACATTAATAATGCTCGATATATTATTTTTCATTTGTCTTTTCGGCAGGAAACCCGCTTGATCTTGATGGATAATTTGTGACAGTACTTTTTTTAATCTAGCAGCTAAGATAATCGCGAAAACTCATGACTGCATTCTTGAGTCCAGCCTTGAAAAAGATAAGAGTGTTAGCTGCAGGAAGACTCAAGTCACAAACACCTGTAAATCAGAGTAGGCACTTAATAATCCCGTAAACCCTTGGTGAAACTAAGATGCTTTGCCACCCAGATCTGTTCCTCTTATACTGGTTGGGATTGTGGGCTTTGATCTTGACCATGGTTTCATCCTTCCAGAAGAATTTTGATTCTTGAATTTCTTTCCTTCCCCATATAAGAATGATAACTTTCTCTCTCTCTCTCTCTCTCTCTGCGAACGAAGCCAGGATTAGAAGAGACACTACAGTGGAAACAGACAATGGCCTTGCATCTAAAGAAAGGCTGAAGATTTCTTCAAGCGGATCCCAAGAACATATTCCCTTCCCAAATGAGCTGACGGAGAGTGAGTATCTCCTTCACGGGTATGTCACAGGAAAAGACAAGGAAGTTTCATAGGGGATTTCTGATTCACTTCTAAGAAACATTTTGTACAGTCATATAGCCTGCAGGGGAATGAGGGAGGGCCTGAAATCCAAAGGCTCAGAAGGTCCTTATAGGCAAGAGTTCAGCTGTAGTTCTTGAGAGGGTGAGGAAGCCTTAAATACCAGATATTCTGGGGAAAGGTGGAGGGGTGGTTAAGATCAGCCAAAGGGCCATCAGTCTCTCTACTGCAGTCACATATTGGCCTTTGGACCGAACCAGGCCTCCCAGGTACTAACAGGATCGGTCTGTTTTTTCCAGCAGAGTATAATCAGAGCAATGAAGAGGGCAAGAAATTTCATCTGCAAATGCCAGATAAAGTTAAAAATGAAGACTTGGAAAAAAATGTCAGCAATCGAGGCCGACCTATGAGAATGAAAGGCGGTCATAAGGTTGAGAAGAGAGATGTAAGACAGCATAATGTACATATTCCAAAGCACAGGATAATGAAGGCAAGAACATCAATTTGGTGCAAAAAGTACTTCAGAAACAGATCACAGCTCTTTGTACACCAAAGAATACACAGAGTTGAGAAACCTTTTGAATGCTCAGAGTGTGGAAAGAGATTCAGTCGGAGTGACCACCTTCATCTGCATCGAAGAACCCACACAGGGGAGAAACCTTTTGAATGCCCAGAGTGTGGAAAGAGATTCAGTCAGCGTGGCCATCTTGTACAGCATCAGAGAACCCACACAGGGGAGAAATCTTTTGAATGCTCAGAGTGTGGAAGGAGATTCAGACAGAGTGGCAGTCTTCAGAGGCACCAAAGAACCCACACAGGGGAGAAACCTTTTGAATGCTCAGAGTGTGGGAAAAGATTCAGTGACGGTGGCAGTCTTCAGAAGCACCAAAGAACCCACACAGGGGAGAAACCTTTTGAATGCTCAGAGTGTGGGAAAAGATTCAGTGACGGTGGCCGTCTTCAACGACATCACAGAACCCACACAGGAGAGAAACCTTTTGAATGCTCAGAGTGTGGGAAGAGATTCCGTCAGAATCGCAGTCTTCAGAGGCACCAAACAAACCACACAGGGGAGAAACCTTTTGAATGCTCAGAGTGTGGGAAAAGATTTAGTGACAGTGGTCATCTTCAACGACATCGAAGAACCCACACAGGGGAGAAACCTTTTGAATGCCCAGAGTGTGGAAAGCGATTCAGTGACAATGGTAGTCTTCGTAAGCACCAAAGAACCCACACGGGGGAGAAACCTTTTGAATGCTCAGAGTGTGGGAAAAGATTCAGTGCTTCAACTGCATCAAAGAACCCACACAGGGGAGAAACCTTTTGAATGCTTTCAATGTGGAAAGAGATTTAGTCACAGTGGTAATCTTCAACTGCATCAAAGAACCCACACAGGGGAGAAACCTTTTGAGTGCTCACAGTGTGGAAAGAGATTCAGCCAGAGTTGCAGTCTTCAGAGGCACCAAAGAACACACACAGGTGAGAAATGTTTTCAATGCTCAAAGCGTGGAAAGAGATTCAGTCAGAGGGACACCCTTCTACTGCAATGAGGAATCCACACAAGGAGAAACAATGTAACTGCTTGGCCATGAGAAGAGCTTTTCTCCTTTTTCACACCTAAAAGACAACTACAGACCATACAAAGCATTTCAAAGATACAAACTCCTGTAAGAAGCTTAAATCTACAGAGAAATCTTACACTAACTGGGAAGAAATGTTATACATGTGTGGAAAGAGCGTTATCCATGTTGAAAACCTCAGAAAGATCCCACAGGGAAGAAAGCAAGGAATGGGAAAGGGCTCTGCTGGATGAAGGATCAGCTGATCTCTCCTTTAGCATCAAGGAGTCCTTTCAGGGAAGGAACGTTCTCAATGCTCAATGTTTGGCAAGAGCTTTAGGCACAGATCCGATCCTCAGGTTCCTCAGCGAATCCATACAAGGGTGAAACTTCCCTATAGCTGGTTCTGATCAGGTTCTTCAAACGCCCTGGCTCTGGAGGTTCAGAATGGCTGAGAACACAGTTACACAAAGAAAGGCCTTTTTAGATTCTTCCCCTCCTCTGTGAAACTTGCTACTTCAGGTGATCTGCCATTCTAACTCTGACATCTTCAAAACTAGCAAAAACAATTCCTTTCTCAAATTGTATGAGGCAACAGAGAAGCTGAGAGAGTAACAGATATCTACATCCTCTCTCCTTACTGGTATAACCATAGTGTGACTTGCTGGCATCGTTAATTCACAAACATTTTTATCTGACAAACAGTTCTAGAGAGGCATTTCTCAACCCTAATCCCTCCTCAGTCCAGCCTGCTGTGAGCTTTTGGGGGGTCTTGCCACTTTGAAACCCAAAGCATTCTGGCAGTAGGATTAATCTGGGTTGAAAGAAGAGAAGAGATTGGATTTATACCCCGTCCTTCACTCGGAATCTCAGAGTGGCTTACAAACTCCTTTCCCTTCCCCTCCCCTCAACAGACACCCTGTGAGGTATGTAGGGCTGAGAGAGCTCTGAGAGAACTGTCCTTGAGAGAATAGCTCTGAGAGAACATCTCTGACAAAACTATGGTTTGCTCAAGGTCATCCAGCAGCTGCAAGTGGAGGAGTGGGGAATCAAATCTGGTTCTCCCAGTTCAGAGTCCGTGCACTTAACCACTATACCGTGCACTTAACCACTATACCGAACTGGCTCTCAGGGAAAGGTTGTCCCCACCCCAACCGAACAACTCAATAAGTTCTAAGGGGTCAGACCCCCCTCTCCCCTGCAACAACCACTATTGTTGAAATGGACCAGTATCAGTGGAGTTCGCAGGTGACCCTTGTGGGGCACAAATTTCCCAATCTAAATTATCCTCCCCACCCCACCCTCAGATTCTCATGGAATTAGGAAAGAGGAGGAGGATTCCCTCCTGCTGCTCTTTACGCCACCACTGCCACCACCTGTGCATACACTGGAAATGACATGGACTAAGCCCTGGGCCAAGGTGTGCTCCCCACGTCTTCCTCCTCAGAGCCCCCCTTAAATTCGTCCACTGATATTGTGTTTTAATTGCACCAACTGTATTTATTTCCACAATGGGCCTTTTTCCTAGTTTCCCATAAATTTAATTATGTGATTTCTATTAATGATTTATTTTGAATGTCTGATATTTCAGGTGGAGTTTCTAAGCAGTGTGCTAAGAAGGCACCTGTTCCCGGGGTTAGCCCAGCCCGGGGGCATTGCTAGGGGTGTTCTCAGGCCCCCCTAAATTTCTGGGGAGCCCATCCCTAAATCTCCACCTCCCTAGATACTGACAATGGCCTGTGATGTCACTAGCTCCTCCCTATGATGTCATGGGGTCACCGTTCTTTTAATGACTTCGCAATGCCTCTGGCCCAGCCCCAGCCCCCCCCCCCGAAACTGGAAAGTCCACGCCCATGGTCATTAGGACCACCTGACCCTCGGAAGTAGAAAGAACAATACACATATAGACAAGAGGGAAGCCAGGCTAAATTTATCCTCATGCCCTGCGAGTATGTCTTGATAGTTTCTTGCTGTATCACAATGAATAGTTTTCTGTACAGCAACTTGGGCTACGCCTGGAATACTTATGCAGCAACAAGAGGTGCCATCTTATACCAAGTCTTGCATGTCTTAAATGGAACGGTTCACCTTCCTTGTTTTCCTGTTGCTGAGCTGCAGAAGCTTTGCTGTTTAGCGATGCTTTATTTTTAAATCCTTAACAAACCTTTATATGTTCTAAAAAGGGTCTGCTTTACTTGTGTGCTGTCTTCTCATGAACCCACAGAACTGGGTGCTGCTCAGGTACAAAGAGAGGAGTGACCTAGGGAGACCGAGGTTTTGCGAGGATCATTCTTGACAGGATCGTTTCCAGATCACAGGCAGAGCAGATGTCTGTAAATCTCATTCAGAGGGAAGGGTGCAGTGTAAAGGATGGCAACAGAGAAATGAGGATCTGGCCCCTTCCAGAGTCCTCCTGAGGGCCTCTCATCCCCACCTTTGCCTCAGGCCAGCACAGCTCCTCTGGCTTGGGTGACGGCCACAACACTGGCCTCTGTTGCGCATGGGCAAGAACACACCCAGGAACACAGGAAGCTGCCTGAGACTGAATCAGAGCCTTCGTTCATCGAAGTCAGTGTTGCTCACTCAGTCTGGCAGGAGCTCTCCGGGGTCTCAGGCAGAAGTCTTTCACATCCCCTCTGACCTGATCCTTTTTACTGGAAATGCTGGAGATTGAAGCTGGGACGTTCTACATGCCAAGCAGATGCTCTGCCAGGGAGCC